CACTAGCTATGTGGTGAATCTAAGGGAACTTAGACAAGGAAAGCGACAATGCTAGTTAAGTTTTATGTATTTTATCTCATCCGCCCGTCAGGCTTTGCCAAGTTACGTGAACTGGGTCTGTCAGTTTTGCACCATTTGAGAATAAATGTCATTTCTATGTTTCAGGTGGTGCAGAGAGAAACAGCAACCTACATGTCCATGAAGAGAACATGCCTTAGAGTTTGTTTTGTGGTATATTATAGTTCCTAGACACTTATAAGGTGAAGATGTTTGTTTTGAAAACAGATGTAATTATTAAAGGTCCAGTGTGTAAGATTTAGGTGAAAGGAAACTATTGGCAGACATTTTATGTAAAATAACCCTAGAAATGTTTACACAAGTGTGTTTCATCTAAATCGTATAAATAGTTGTTTTCTTTACCCTCGAATGGGCCCTTTATATTGAAAAACTTTACATTTACATCGGAGGGGGTCCTCTCTAAGGAGGTCGCCATTTTTTTCACAGTCGTCCAAACTGGACAAACTAAAACCTTTTAGAGAAGCTACCACAGGTTCTTTTTCATGTTTGGAATTGGAGGGTGAGGTGAGGGGTGTTCAGCTGCACCATGCAACTTCACMGCTACAAGTCACTAAATTCTACACACTGTACCTTAAAGTGAGGTTTATGATATAACTTGGTGTTTTTAAATGTAAATAGAACAATCTTATTTGAAAGGAAAGCCTGTAGATGTAAGTTTTGTGACATGATAAACATAACCTGTATGCTGTTTGTATAACCACTGTATGTATCTCAAAATTAGTAAGACATAGGAATAAAGACAAGGCACACTAGGCGTGATTTAAATAGTTCATTCCAGTCTTGCATTATTCACAACAGAAATMATTTTGCAGAAAACACCTGATTGCTTTTATCATACAAATAAATCTTTAAATAAACCACATTAATGACATACAAGTGCTGATGCTGTCTACCATAAGGTTTTAAGTCTGACAACTGTGGTTTTTCTCAACAGTCTTTAAAACAGTGGATTCCGGGCTCATTTTGGTTTTAGTCCTTTTCCTGAAATGTTATTATTTTTCCATTTCTTTCATGTGATGAATATATTCATTTTAAAAGTGAATCTTAAATTAAGTTGCATTTTTCCTGGGGTGGGGGTCTATATTTGTAAAGCCTTGAGATCTGTCTAAATAAAAAAATTAAAAAGGCCCAGGATATATTTTCATATTTCCCTCCAATATTGACTTTGCGTTTACTGTGATGTCACTGCTGAATGATGCAGTGGAGGTATTAGTCCTCCACAGAGTGTTTCACTGAGCTCTCCTGATGACGGTGATGACGGCTGCTGTCAGAACTACTGTCCCGGCTGCSCCGCCAATCAGAGCTCCCAGAATGCCGCTGTGTGTGTTCACTTCCTCACATCTTTTGCCRGTGTAGTAGGTGGTCTGGGTTGTTGCACACCTGAAAAGCAGAAGGCACATACATCTGTTTTGACTGTTTAAAAAATAATACAACGTAAATGCAGGTTTCACATGAATGCACATTCCAGGCTGGTGTTTGCTTTAGCCCACATGTACGAAGCAGTCTCAGCAGGCTAGCAAGAGCAAGTAGGTTGATTGATTCA